TATCTTGTGGTCCTATGAATGATTCTTCTGGAAAATTTCCACTGTGCTCTTCCCAGTTGTTTCTACTGATTGGTATAATCTGGACAGAAATGTTTCGAGGTGGATAAGGAACTAAAAGAGAAGCAAGAGTTAGTCTTCACTGGTTGTGTTGAATGCACTTTGTGATACGTCAGTTCCCCAGAAAAACAACACATATTGTTTGCAGCAAAACAAAGTATCTAGGGTTATTTTGAAATAACTTCTTCATACTAAGACTCTCCTTTGTTTTTCATATACTTATAGCACAAGTGACTCTAGTGGGATCAAGATTAATGCAAATGCACAGAAGAATCAGGACTGGAGAATAAAATGATGTAAAGTAGATAGTGTATGAAAAAATTGTATTTCTTTGCTCACAGAGTAGCAAGGTTATCCAGGTGTGCATCTGTAAGACTGGAACTTCATTTATTTTATTTTGCCTTCTGGAATCTCTGAAATGTTTTGATCATGCAAAAATATTTCTACAGAAGTGAGCCAAAAAACATATTCAAAAATTACATATGGCATAACTCATGTTCAAAGGCATGCACATCAGATTTCAATATGGCTTGTCGCATGCATTTAACAGACACCTTTTCACAAGCACCTAGAATTAGTTTAAATTTTAACATTTGTGAAAGCTTGATCTCAAATTTGCTGTCTCCTAAGGAAAGATAAGATTCTGGTACATGAAAAAGAATTGACTCATGCTAGGATGAGCATGCTACACATGCTAGCACGTGAATACACATCCTACACATTTTGTCTACCCTGCTGTAATTGCTTGACTGTATGTTCTTCTCCAATGTATGTGCAGAGCCGTTGCAGACAGTTTTGCCTGGTACATTTTAGTGTGGCCCTTTAGCTTACATCACATTAATTTGTTCACCTGCCTCTTCCTCCCACTCCCATCCCAACCACAGCCATTTAGACAAAAACATTATGCTCATGTTGCAGTTTATGGGGAAAGTGAGGGATAGGAGAGCAGAAAGAAGGAAGTGGTCCTTTTGCTTTTATTGGTTACATCCTTACAGTCCATTCTCTCAATGTATATATTTAAGATCATCACAACGGAACTCAGCTGGCTTCAGCTGGCTTTGCTCCCTCCAAGGCAGTGGCTCAACATTAGTGCATATGCCTTAAGATCTGTCCTTTTCATTTTAGTCCTGGTTCATTTCATGCTGGACCCTGGAAATTGTCTGCAGTCCAACAAATTGACAGGAAAGTTTTGGGCACCGTCCCAGCACCAAATTAAATTAGTTCTGGATTCTGAACAAATGCAATTTTCAGTTTTTGCAGCATTGCCATCTTGAAAATTAAAAACTCATGCTTTAGAGCATAAACTGACCACCAAGAAGGGTAACTAAGCCATTCTTCTCCTCTATCATAAGGGATTGCACAATGAAGACAGACTTCAGCAGTTTAGCTAGGAGAGGAAACAGACCAAACAGATCCATAGTAGCTCAGTGGCTATTGCCACAGAAGGGGTGTGGGGAGGGAGCCTCATATAAAGCCTGGAATGTCTCATGTGAATCAGAATTTATTTTCAGAGAAGCAAGCTTTTTAACTGAAATGCTCATGCAAGCTACCCTTGGCACACATAAACATAAGCCCTGCCTTCCCAGCACTAGCCCAAGCATCCTCCTGCACCCCTAGGCAGGAGCTGCCCCCATGCAATCTTCCCTCTCTGCGCACGATCAGTCCCTTCCCGTGGCAGAAAGGAGTGCAGACAGATGTACAGACTTAGAGCACAGGGTACACGAACATTTTCTTCACCTGTTCTGTGCTGCTTGGGTTCATGCCTGACCCCACTGTATTCCACCAGCGTGCTTTTGTTGAAGGTTGCTTCTGACACCAACTGAAATGTGATGTTACTGTAGCATATACCTGGCAGCCAGTGATTGAAAACTGTTTTACCTTTAAAGAAGTCTGCAGAAGGTTTAAAAAGAGGAGGGAAAGAAGAAAGGGGGAAAAAAAAAAAAAAGACATCAGACATCCGCTTTTTGGTAAGGCAAACTGCACATGCTGACCTGACAGCGTTTCTGCTGCTTAGACACTGCTCAGGTTTGTCTGAAAAATGGAATTCTAACAATTCTGTTTGATAACATTTTTTCCTGCCTGTTAAAAGCACTCTACTGAGGAAAAAAAAAAAGAAAGAAAGAAATTTCTAGCCAAAGAAATGTGAACTCTATGTGAAATTTTTTTCACAGGAACAGGACAGCATCTGGCAGCCACGTGTCACCAAACATTTCAAAGAGCATCTGATAGGTTCTGCTGACCTTTCACTGTTGCATGCAAAGCCTCCTTGGTCGTTCTCGGATCAAGATGCCACATTCAGGATAAATGCTGGCAGGGCAATCCACAACACAGCTGGGCCCAGGACTGAGCTCTGAGCTCACCTCTAACAACAGTGCACGCATGGGCTGAAGGGGAGTTACTTAGGGCTATTTGACCACGGGGAAGAATTTGCTAGTTGATTAGTGAACCGCCTAATTCAGGCTGAATTCTTCATTTTTCAGCAGCAGCAGCAGCAGCAGGGTTACAAACCGTGACACCATATATTAGCTTTGTCAGGCATAAAAAATTGCTGCTAGTATCACTTTTGTTCTCTGCAATGAGCCTGTGTTTGGTACTAAGATCCAGAATCAGCTTTTCTATCATTAGGCACTTTACAGAATTGAAAACATCATTCTAATACCTCATTGCACTGAAGGAAAGGGACACCACAGTATGGAGCCCTTGGTCTGGAGGTGTCTATCTCCCTCTGCTGACTATGGCAGGAGTTTATAACCCCTGGACCTCCAAACTGGGTGCTCCCAACCCTTCACACTACGATGATAAAGAAGTACCAGCTTTGAACATCTGCATGAGGCAACAGGCATATCAAAATGGTTTCCCAGATCTGGGGCATTCCAGGGTTTTCTGCCTTTTATAGCTGAGAAATTGCTGAGCAGTTTAATAAGAAGCAATCCTGACCAGAGGGAAGTGAGTGGAAAATTTATTAAGAATTTCAGCTGAGAAATGTCTTCCAGGCAATTCAACAAACATATCTATAAAGCCAAAATGTATCGCTGTCCTTCCTGCT